TGGGCGGCTTTGATACGATCCTTCCCGACAGAAATACCTTCAGCCGAAATAATATGTCCCAAATACTCGATGGACTTGGGGCCAAACGAAATCTTCGAAGGTTTCAATGTCAGACCTGCTGCTTGGAGAGCTGCGACCATGCTCTCCAAAGACTTCATATGATTCTCGAAGGTTGCTGAAAGCACACAGAAATCATCCATGTAAATCAACAACTCGGGAATATGGCCTAACGTTCTATGGGCCATCTCAGTAAAAATCCATGGGGCATTACAAACACCAAACGGCATCCGCTTGTAACAGTACTTGCCAGAGATGGTGACAAAGGCTGTCCTTTCGACGTGGTCAGGATGAACAGGAATCTGCCAGTACGCTGACTGGACGTACGTCTGCAACGCTGATGAACTTGGTGCTGCCGGCAGAGTCAAGGTTGGACTCCATGTTCGCTAGAGGCCAGGTCTTGAATATGATGTGCTTGTTGACGGTGCTTCGCAAATCGACGCAAAAACGAGGTTTACCATCTTTACGCGCGACGAGAGTAACGGGGGAACCCAACTGACTAGGCAGCTCTTCGATGATGTCATCGTCAAGCATGTCCTTAACGCACGTTTGGATAACGGCTTCAGTGTGCGGGTTTGCGCGGTAGGGACGACGGTTAACCGGTTTTGTGTTAGGCGGCATAGGAAACGTGGCTTGAGCAGTTGTGCATTTACCAAGCTCCTTACGATTCAGCGAAAAAAAACGGACGAAATGTTGCGCACAGGTCCAAAATACGAGTTTGCTGTTCCTTAGTGAACGTGGAATTTGCGAACGCTTTCGACAGCGGTTCTACCAGCTCAGCTTTAGCAGCAGCAATTTCACTCGCGGTTTTTGGAGACAAGGCAACAGCATGGACGTGAAGCTGTCCCTGTGCTACCATAGTAATCGGCGATAAAGTTCCAATATCCAATCCAACATGTACGGCGAGATACTCAGCTGATGGATTCGCAATTTGGACAACTACCGAACCATCAACAGCACTCCATCTTGAGACGGTACGAGCCACGATTAAACGCTCAAATTCGGGCGGAACAGTATCGAACGAAAGTTCATCTGCCCACAAAATACGCGGCTCGACTACTACGACGGTATCAACGGACGGTATGCATTCAGTAAATGCTTTTACGATCATCGCATGACGAGGGCGAATATTATAACGTTGACGTAATTTGACTGAGTGTTCTTCCGCATTTCGATGAACGGCTGCAACACGGGGGGACGGCGACGGATCATAACCGTGTTGAGATTTTTTACGATGAATAGCGGGGACAATAGTGTCACTACACTCAAAAGTCAAACGTTCATTTTTCCAGTCAAGTACTGCCCCAAACCGAGTCATTGCCTCATTGTCTAGGAGTATTTGATCAGGACCGAGCGATGGTACGACCAACGCATNTCGTGTTGAGATTTTTTACGGTGAATAGCGGGGACAATAGTGTCACTACACTCAAAAGTCAAACGTTCATTTTTCCAGTTAATACTGCCCCAAACCGAGTCATTCATTGCATCATTGTCTAGGAGTATTTGATCAGGACCGAGCGATGGTACGACCAACGCATCGATTCGGCGGGACACGTCTCCCAACCGAACAACGAACGAAATAAATCCTAAAACTTTGACTGGTGCACCATTTGCGGCACTGAGTTTTAGGGACGGAGACGGTATTGGCTCTAAACGAGCAAACGATAACGATGGGTGCTGTTTCAAAAACGAAAGTGAAATGCACGTGACGTCACTTACTTGCAGTATCAATGGTGATTTCAGGAAGAAATTGACCATCGATATATATATCCAGAAGCGCGAACAACAACATATTCGCCTGATTGAGAGCGTAGCATCTGATTGAGAGCGAGATTGCGCGATACGCTGTAGCCGGACTACCACTGAGAGGTGGAGCTTGCTGTGTAGCTTGAATTGAAGGGCTAGCCCGTAGCTTCAAGCCGCTACCCTGGTCATCCTGTGGGAGTCTCTCGTTGTGGAGCTACAGCGGGGAGCAGAAGCTACAGCAGAGCCCACCGCCCGACGCGATACCGCCCTGAAACAGTTTGAGCAGAAATAGCCAATCTGGGCAAATCTAGCAACTTGTCTAGCTCCTCGCTGCAGCATCCGATGACGATGACACGCATATGCTCGCGAAGCTGCTGATGAGACCTTCAATTTGCACCGCTTCTTGGAATAGCCCGTCCCCTACTTGCCAAGAAATGGCAAGAGGCGTCTGGACCCGAAATTTCAATTTTTTTGGCTCTCGCTCTCAATCAGATACTTCGCTCTCAATCAGGCGAATATGTTGTTGAACGCGTTTGGATGAAAAAGACAGAGACAGAGACGTTTTTTTTCGCGCCAGCGCTGAGCTGTACCACGAAACACGTTGTTTAATTCCATCCGACTTCCTCTTCCTCTTCTTACGCTCCGATAATTTTTTCGGTACGGCAACAATCCTGTCGCTGACGCCACTATTAGACTGTTGTCCCCAGGTTCAAGTGTGAGCAAGTTCCCTTAGGGATGGGCGGTTTGGATACACACCGGATCAACCTCTGGTGGAGAGGCTGATGTACGGAACGTTGAGTCGAGTGTGTGTGTATTTATTGTTAGCATCGACCGCGCTCGTGTATGTGTGTGGCAGGTGGAGATCAACTTTAACTTTGTGTTGAAGCAAGGTTCAGCATCCAACCTGCACTGACTCTATCTGTGGTAACACCCCTAAGGTAGATCTCCGACAGGTCATCTGACGTCACAATCTACGATAGTCTGAGGTGGCATTCACATGCAGTCAAGTAAATAATAACAACCCGATCAAGAATATTTCTGCACCTGCTAGCAACAAGGCCACTTTAGTCCCAAGAAGTAATGTTCCTATTTCCCGGTTTAGCGACCGCTAGATGCCATTCATTGAGGGTCCCGGTTATAAGCGACCAATCAATGGTCGCTAAAAAACCGGGTTTAGCGACATGCCCTGCATAGCGACCATATTTCGTCGTGACACTACTATTAGGGGTCGCTGAAAAACCGGGGCCCCCACTCACTGCTGTATAAATCGTTCGTTCTCATCACCATGATGAGGGAAAAGATACCGTAAGGAATGCGGCGAACACCGAACACACACACACACCACGCACCCATAGCCACGTACTGGTGACGGCGGTTCGGTGACATGATCGGACACACCGGTGATGATATCGCACCGGCCGTGCGATAAAAAACACGAGAAGAAAGAAAAATGTTTTGATTCGGGTATCGCACGGGGATCGGGGGGATCGGGGTGGATATCAGCGGAGCGGTTCCTTCCGCCCTCCATGTATGTATGTATGTATGTATGTATGTATGTGTAAACCGTGGAACACCCCACCCCACCCCCCAGCCCTCCCGGGCCAAGATTGACACGCAGGATAGCCACTTAAGGCGGCTCACTTGCAGTAGTCTTTTATTATTATATAGGATTTAGTGTGTCCATAGTAAAACCAATATATATACTCTTCATTGAGTAGACTTTCGTGCCGGATCCTGAAACAAATAAAACACCTTTTTTAACTTGTAGGCTTTCGTGTCGTCATACTATTTCCTACATCATACACTAGTCCTCGCGACCAAGATTATTGACGCGTATTATTCTTGGGGTGTTTCCATCTTTTCCACTAGCACTTTGTGGGATCCCGCGCGCGCGCGCCGGAAAAAGCGCCCGAAAATGTCGAAACCCCGGAGATTTTGTCAAAATGTCCCCCTCGGGAACAAATAAGGCATATCCCCCCCCACCGCGACCAAGATTGATGACAAGTAACCTAGGGGTGTTCCAATGTTTCCAGATAGATGGAGGGACCCTTGCCGAGACACTTATAATAGTTTTTTTTTTGCGAAAAGTGTGGCCCGTTTAGGGGTACGCTTTTGGTTTTGCAAAAAAAAAAGCTGTTTAGAGGGATCGTGTGTGGAGTATGTGCGCACGAGAAAAAGAATAATTTTCATGCACAGGGGCGTGAAAATTACGCGATGGCTGTCTGTCTGTCTTTCTGCGCGCCCTAAATACACAGCAGACTCGAGCCCAATTCTCACCATCTCGGCACCAAATTGCAAACTAAAACTTGCGCACAACAAGTAACATTTTGCCCGAGCTGTCCCAACCGCTACCTTTGCAATCCGTGGTCGGTGTCTCGAGATAGCACACCGTTTGTGCAAATATATATGTCACATGGACGCATCCCCGGGAGGCGTCATTTTTGGGCAACAAACTACACGCACGCAGGAAACCACGAAGCACTGCCGTGCTGCACATACTGCTGCTGCTACTGGCAAGACACGCACTATACAGAGACAGGGAACATGGACAAGGGGGGCGGGACACACACACATACTGCTGTTGGCGACGGCGGAGGAAGCGGGGAACGTTTGGTTGGTCTGGGGTTCATTCATCGCTGATGATGTTGTTG